CGGTGTGCCACAAAACTGGTCCTGGTATCAAAATGGTTGGGGGCCTCTGCCATAGAAAACATTTTGTAAAGAAAAATGCAAAATACTTATATAGGTATGGAAGTAAACTCCGCAAATCATTACTGTAAGATATAGTGGCATCGCTAATTTTGGGTTTTTTAAAAAAAAGAATTAGGTAATTTTGTGGAAGTTTGGCTTTATCAGGAACTATTAGTGGAAGCCTTTTGTTAATTTTCCTTGGGGTCAGCTTGCCTCTTAATGCCAGCTTTAGGAGAGCAACAGCAGGAGAAAGTGTGTGTGTGTGTGTATAAAAAATAAGGAAGATATTGATGAACTGGAACATGTCCAGAGAAGGCCAACCAAGATGGCTGAAGACATTTGAAGACACTTGCACCCCTCTCAGCTTTACAGCTGTTACATTATAGGGGGTTCAAACTTATTCTCACTTGCTCCAGGGGACAAGACCAAAATGAGTGGGATGAAACTTCAAGCGTGTAGATAACAGATTAGACATTAGGAAGAGCATCTCACAGTACGAATCCATAGAATAGATTATTGTATGGAATGGTTTCTTCCCCTTTACTGGCTGGATAGTCATCTGTTGGGGATGGTGTGATGAATCCTACAGCATACAGGGGATTGGATTCAGTGATATGATATGATCTTTTTAACTAAGATTCTGTGATCTGTCTGCTGTTTGCGAACACTTCCCAGGTTTCTGCTTACCCCTAAGAAAAAATGCTGGATTAAGGTCATCCTTAAGTCTGATCCAGCAGGACCATTCTTAGATGCTTATGAAATGTACGCTTCATTTCTAAAATACATGCAAACATTTGGCAATAAACCATCTGAAAGTAGGCTCCATTTGTATGTATTCTAAAGCAGGGGTCTCTAACCTTGGCAACTTTAAGATTTGTGGACTTCAACTCCCAGAATTCCTCAGCCAGTTGCCAAGGTTGGAGCCGCCTGTACTAAACCACAGTCACAGTTTAAATATTTGTATTAATCATTGCAATACCTGATTATATGGATACTACACATAAATATTGCATGAATAGAAATATTTCGTTTTTCTGTGTTTCAGTTCATCTGCCCAGCATCAGAGCAACAGCTGGCTAAGTGCACCATTGAGCTGGCATCACTGCTAGGTTAGATTTCTAATATTTTCCTTTTTATGTATTCCTTTTTTTCTTAAATCTTTCATTCTTCAGCCAGATATAAAAATCCCTTTGTGCGACCCTGTAATCATATTGAACCATATATATAACCTGAATGAATTATACTGAACCTGACTTCAGAATTTGTGGACTAGTATATAAAGCCAAAGTGCTTGGATTACCAAGTTTCAAAACTTTAATAATATAAACCTTTTAAGTTAGCCTAACAAAATGACCCCCCCCAAAAAAAGATGATGATTTTTAAATCACCTGAAATGTTCTACTTTCATTAAATTTGTTTTTAGCTATGGTGATGCTAAACAGGTAATAGCCTGTTTTGCATCAATATTGGTCTGGGCTGCTTTTTTTCTACATAAAAGAAAATTATTTCAAGCTGGGGAATTCCAGTTCCTCAGTCCCAATGCTGTCTATTTTCCTATTTAAAGAACTTTCAGAGGTTCTCATAGGATGTGAATGCTAAGAAGGCTCTCTGTCTGCTGGGGAAGTTTCTATAAACCTTTTAAAGTGGCTGGCAGGATTGGTAAGGTGCATCACAGATAAGGCCAATGTTTCCATTTTCCTTTCTTATAGTTTCAGATTGTGTTCCAATCCAGGAGCCGAACTTTACATCTCCCAAAATGCCAGAACAGCAGCAATCGAAGTACCAACTCATCTCCAGTCTCTTGGAATCTCTTCTGTCCATCTGGAAAGATAATTTTCAGGCACCAGTACCGTTACACTTGATGTTCACTCAAAAAAACATCGCCTACCTTGCAGGCAGCAAAGATCATGAGGTGGGCTGTTTAAAACATTTTAGAGACACTTCCAAATCTCACTGCTCTTGCTCTTTCTTGTTTTATGCACATAAAGTCAGTCTTTGGCTAATCCAGAAGCATTGATACAGGAAAATAGAAAGACCCGACCCCCCCCCCCCCCCCAGGCCTTCCGCAAAGCCCTTAAAACCTGGCTGTTCCGACAGGCCTGGGGCTAAAGCCTGTTTTTTGCTCATTTTTGCCCCCCCCCCCCCCCCCCCCGGAGTATATTTTTGAGAACCGTGGGATATATATGAAAAGCATTTGCTAATATGGCAGTAACTACTTCTTAGCTACTTAAATCCATTATTATGAAATTAGAAAAAGGTGCTCCGAATACCCCTCAGTGCGACAGGTTTCTTTTTTTTAGTAGATATTTTCCCTATTTCCACTTTTTGGTTTGGAGCAAAGGAGATGAAAAAGCAATGCCATAAAACCAAAAGCAACTCATCCTATTGACCTTTTTTATTTCCTGGGATGAGAAAAGAAGGGGTAAACATTACGTTTCAGAGTAAGACTTTTGACTCTAAAGAATGCAATTTCTTTCACCTTTTTTTCTCTGTTAGTTTTTCTTTAGGTTTGCCTGAATATTTCTGGGGAATTTCAAAACTGCATATAGATGTGTGCCCTCACAGAACTAAATTGTTGAATTGATATGGAATTTATCTATAAAAAGTGTTATTAAAATGCAAACGTACATATTTTAAAAACTCAGTAGTAGATTTTTAACAATAGACTAAGCATATTAAAAGAATCAGAAAGCAAAATATGAATTTAAGGGAAACTCTAGGTATTAATGAAAACAAAAAAAGATGAATGAAGAGAAATATATATGTCCCAGGATAATGTTGCAGGGTCCAATCTGAGTCAGTCACTGGGACAGAGGTTTATTCTTCAAGCTTTTGGACTCGTACTGTGTCCATTCTGGAGAGAGAGAAGGTCTCTAAGGATGGGCTCCAGCATGAATGCAAAAGCTTGGGAGAATAAACCTCTGGTTCCAATGACCGATTCAGACTGGATCCTGAACAAAGAAAGATGTTTGAGTGTTACTTCCAACTAATGCTAATTTGAATTTGAGATATATGTATAACGTCTCAATTTCTGTTGCATTTATAAACTTAAAACCATTTTGCTGTCTGTTACTCTGCTACCTGACCATACTTCCAGATAATATTGCTATGTAACATTTCCCAGCTGATTTTCAATGATTTTCAATAAACCAATATACGCCAGTTATTTCTACTAATTTCCACATAATAAAGGGAGCTGAAGGGTAAATCCTTTAATAGATTATCTGTAGATGAATTAGCCATCACTAAAAAGAAAAGCATTTGAGTTGGTATGACATTTCTGCATATATGATTTCTTTGGTAACGGCTCCTGCGTTCCTGCTAGCAACATGAACTAGTTATGTGTTAAGTTGTTATGTTATGTTGATTTTATTTATATGCTGCCCTTTTCCCCCGAAGGGGACTCAGGGC